ATCCGGAATCATCCGGATCTCGGGGGGTAGTTCGTTCCAGAGGGTGGGGGCACCCACAGAGAAGGCCCTCCCCCTGGGGGTCGCCAGCCGACACTGTTTGGCCGACGGCACCCTGAGGAGACCCACTCTGTGGGAGCGTACCGGTCTATGGGAGGAAATCTGAGGCAGAAGGCGGTCTCGGAGGTAACCAGGTCCGATGATCTACTTCCTACGTTCAGGGAACCTTCCCAAGGACTATACATTTATCAGTACTATAGATAAAGCTTGGAAAAGGAAATGTATTATGCTTCCAAGTGAGAAATGCAGAGTATTTCCATTTTTAAAGACCATTTTCTGAATTAAATCTACAAGTTCAAAGCCCATATTAAGTAGGCTAATATATTATTGTTGGCTAAGAAATATTAAGTATTTATTTATTTATTTATTTAATTTATATCCCGCCCTTCTCCTTACGGACTCAGGGCGGCTAACAACCAGATAAAACACTAATCCCCAAAAACTACAAATTCTTATTGCCCCAACAATTGTATGTATCTTTCTTTTTCAGATTCTGGAAATGCACAACAGCCTGAAGAATTATTACCATGTCGGATTTGTGGAAGGACTTTTTTTCCAGCTGCATTAGTAAGTATGAGTATATGAACATAATGAATTTATTTAAATCAAGATGAGAAATGATAGGAGCCCGCCTGGTGGGCAGTCACAGCTCCAGTAGTCTTCACCTGAAGAGATGAGAGGCAGTCCCGCAGAACAGCCCTTCTCCTCCTGCCACCGATTCTCCTGCCCGCTGTTCCCCCACCTACCCCTGCTGAGTCCTGCCCTGTCAGAGAGCCCCGGATTCCGTGCGGGCCTAGCAGAGCCAAGTGGAAGGGAAAGCCGTTGATCTTCATTCAGGCAGGCCCAGAGTTTTCTGAAGGACGTTCGGTTTCATTCTGGCTCAGGGAAGCATCGCTCCCTCAGGGGGATCGTGATTTCCGGCAAGCGGCCAGTTATTGAAGCCCGGGTTCCTCCTATTCCCCTACCGCCCTGTGCGCGCATCCCCCCCAACTCTGATCCCCCTCCTCTCTTCCATCCTTTACTTCTTGCCCTGCGGTGCGGTTGGTGCCCTCCGCTTTTCCTCGATGGCTAAAGACAACTTTGCTCACTCAGAGCTTTTTCCTCTCTTCCCACGGCAGCTGATTTCCCCCCCCCTTGTCCTCTCCTCCTCTGTGATCCCTGCAGCCCTCCGTAAGACAGCATGTATTTTTTGATTCCTGCTGCTCAATCCCTCCTCCTCCCCCCCCCTTGATGGCTTCCTACTTGTGGGATGCAGGGGAAGGGAGCACCATTTCATTACAGGAGGGAGAAGGAAAACTGGTCCAGGCAATGAAAAGGGAAGAGATCAAAGGGGGGGGGCTTTGGAGATGAACGCTGCTTTGAGTAGATGTTTTGGTCTGCAGCATATGTTTCCCTTTCGCCTCTTGCCTGCCTTCTCTCTGTTTCCTAGTGTGCCTCTGGAAAGCCAGGAAGGGGGGGGGCAAAATGAATCTGCTCCTAGTGTGGAATCATGAAGCTCCAAGGGGCCTTTTCTTGCAGTTGCTGCAGTAATGCCCCCCATTCTTCCTGCCCTGGCTACTGCACCAAAAGCAGTTGATTATTGCTCGGTGGAACCAGCAGTGGGTGGGAGGAAGGAATGGATATCCCTTCTGCTGCCTCTGCCTCAGTGGACAAGACCTCCTTCCAAAAATCTCTCCTAAGATTCTGGCAGGCACAGCCCCAGAACTGAGCTGCTGACTGAGCTGGAGTGGGGAGTTGGGGGAAGAAAAGAAGAGGAACCACTGACTAGCTCAGGAATTCTCGGAGTTGAAGTCCACGAGTCATAAAAGAGCCAAGGTTGCCTACCCCTGGACTAGCTGGACTAGCTGAAATGACCCATTTTCTGAATCATATAATACTAGAAGAATAAAGGGGCTATATTTCCATAATTCACTAAGACTGCACACAAAAAAAGCAACACTGACATCAAGTTTAAAGTAATCAAGCTTCATAAGTTGCACAAATGCAGCCATTCTGTTTTAATCCAATCTGCTTCAGCTACTGTAAACACAGACCTTCAGTAAAACTATTATACTGAAATTATAACAGTATAATTTGTAACAATGAAAATACATCCTGCATATCAGATATTTACATTACGATTCATAACAGTAGCAAAATTACAGTTATGAAGTAGCAACGAAAATAATTTTATGGTTGGGGGTCACCACAACATGAGGAACTGTATTAAAGGAAGGTCGCGGCATTAGGAAGGTTGAGAACCACTGTTCTAGAATATTCTCTCACCAGAGGTGAGATCTGCCCCACACTCCTACTCTTCCAGAAGAGCCTGAAAACCTGGCTACGCCAACTGGCTTGAGGCTCCGTCAGAGGCGCATTACCTTGGGGGTACCTTATGGGGTAGAGAGAACCTCATATAAAGTAAATTAATATAATAAATATACAAGTAGTCCTTGATTTAGCACCATGTGTTTAACATAGTTTGGAGTTACAATGGTGCTGAAAAAAGTTATGACCTGTCCTTAAAATTAGAATCATCACACTATCCTTGCTGTCATATGATTATGATTTGGGCAGTTGACAACTAGCTCGTGTTTATGACAGTTGCAGCGTCCTGCAATCATATGATTGTGGCTTAGGACCTTTCCAGCTGGTTTCTGACAAGCAAAGTGAATGCAGGAAAGCTGGATCTACCTAACAACTATGGTGATTTGCTTATCGGTCATGATAAAACCAGTAATAGAATCAGGTCTGATCATATGATGATTTGCTTAATGACCACATTGCTTATCAACCAAAATTCTGGTCCAATTATGGATGTAGGTTAAGGACTCCCTGTAAGCTTTATCTCCTGGGGTCTTTGCTTCTCTTTCATGACAGGGAGCTAATAATGAATTTTAAAAATACAAATATAAATATTCAACTTTTTAAAACTTTCATTTCACAGAAAAAGCATGCTCCCATTTGCCAAAAATCTGGTACTAAAAGAAGAAAAGCATTTGACTCTAGCAGACAGAGAGCAGAGGGAACTGATATTTCCACAGTAAAACCTATGAAACCACGGGTAAGTACATAAATAATGAAATGTAGTTATTATTTTTTTAAAAATGCATGTAATATTGGTTGCAAATATGTTATGAGTGTTTAGGAACTTATTCAAAGTAGTGTACTCATTTATTTTTTCTTTGATTAAAGAACTGTTAATTGTTTTAAGCATACTGCTTGTATAATACTTCTTTTGTCTTGGCATTATCTTTATCATCAAATCAAAATGCTGATTTCAGACTTCATATTGTACTGGTTTGAGAATGTATATTATTAGGAATACCAGGGCTATAGGCTAGAAGCAAATTTATAAAGTACTTGCAAGAAAATTGAAAACACATGATGTATTCATTGACTTAACAAGAGAAAACAAGCTTGACTAGAAAGAGTCTCTACTATTTTCCATACTATAGAAGCTATTATATGAGCTGATAGTCCTGAAGAATTGCAGCCAATAATGAAAATTAGAGCAGGGTAATATGACACTATGAACAATGTAAGACTTTGGCATTTGATTTTCTGTGATAAGGTTTTTTTAAAGATAACTGGAAAAAAGCAGATAATATAATTGTGTTCTGTTGAATAATGCTGCCTCTCAGAAACTCAACTTTCTCTGTAAGAGAAAGATAGAAAACACATAATTCTACACTCTGTACTAGATATATTTTGTTGGTGTTGGGCAGATCTAATGCTTTAATTTAATATAGTTGTGTATTCCTATATCAGCAGTTATATAACAGTAATTACTTTTAAGTTAAATGCAGTATTGCATTATTCAATATTGAACTATTGAAAACAAGAAAATAGCCTCTCTTAACGACAACAGGGAAAATACAACAAGCATTCAGAAGAATAGGAAGTGATTAAGAAAAGGGAGTGATTATAAGCAGACATTGTTCTTACCTGGAGTTCAGCTTGCATGGAATATTAAATTTACTTTTTATTTGTCTACTTTTCTTTCATAACTACTGTCACAGTACTTTTCTCAAAGACTAAGTGTAGTTTTGCAAATAGCCTGCTTAAAAATAATACATTATTTTTATTTAGCTGGTGTTGTTTAGATTATTGCATACTGTACTGAGTACAAGAAAAATCACGGTTTACATTGCAAAACTATGTCTGCTGTCTGTGTTGTCTCTTTAGCCAGAACCTCCAAAGAAACCATCAAACTGGAGACGAAAGCACGAGGAGCTCATAGCAGCTATAAGAGCGGCCAAAGGAGTAGATCAGGTTCTTAAAGAAGGTGGAAAATTGCCACCACCACCACCACCTTCTTATGATCCTGGTATATAACTTGAATTTGAGATATGTATACATTTTAGCATATGTTCATGCAGTATTATTTTTGAATAATTACATAGCTCTCATCATACTTGATCACCGTGCTTGTTTAGGACAGGTATCTTTATATCCAAAATACTCTATATCTTATTTTTTTTTATTCAGAGAGTAAGTCTTAAGGAATACTAGATAATTGGGGGGGGAGGGAATTAAATTCTAGCCATAATGTCTGTTCCGTATATCTGTCTTATTTATATACAAAACTTTAATTATATATAATATATCTGATACCATGATTCTTTTTTTATCTTCACACAAAGCTCCATTACTGAATCATTTCTAAATTATTATATTGGAAATGCACATTTACATCAGCAGAAAGTGTCCTGAGTCACTGCTGCCTTGATTATTTGTCACTGATTATTTTTCAGAGGTTTTGCACTAAAACTTTTTAGACCTGGAATTGGAAAGGAACCAACAGTTAATAGGAACGATTTAACTTACTTTACCACACTTCCCCATGTGTGATCACAAATAAGGCCTTATTCAATCTAATTGTCCTAGGAAAGGAATTCAGGCAACTAACTGTACCATTGAGCTAAAGCCAGCCATCAGCCAATACCTTTTCCCTCGTCCCATACATACATGGGAGTCCTATATTGTATGAAACTAAAGCTGCTGTAAAAATTATGTTGTTAGCACACATGGAATAGAGGTGAAGGGATATCTCGGTGGGATATAGTTAGAATCTGTTCTTTTAAAGAGTTCTGTTGTTTAGATGGAAGAGAACTGATTGATTCCCTGCTTAGTCTCAGCATTTTGAAATAAGACTCCTAGATCTGGAAATTGTGAAAGTAGACAAAATTATAGTGAAAACATTTTTTTTTAACCTAGGTGGTTAAGAGAAAATTATGGAATGCTCCAGTAACTTGATAATTTATATACATTCTAGAGTACACACACACACACAAACATATATTTGGTGGAAATAGCTGTCATAAATGTTATGACATGAGGGCATTAATTCTAAGTTTATCATGAGAGCAAAATTGTGTTGGAATTGAGAGAGTGAAATAATGAATACCCATTTGTTATATATCTGTATTGCACAAATTTCTGTTGAATATAGATTATATTCAGTGCCCATACTGCCANAAGCGGACCTGACCTAGGGTGGATTTTACATTGGGTTTTAAATATTCGGAAGACGCAACATTAAAATTCGGTTTAATTCGGTTTTAAGGGGGGGATTGTATATATGTTCTGGTTTTAAATATGTTGTGCGCCGCCCTGAGTCCCTGTCGGGAGAAGGGCGGCATATAAATTAAATTAAATAAATAAATAAATAAAATAAATTAAATAAAATAAAATCTACTTGTCTACTGAAACACCATTTTTCCTTTCAGTCAAAGGTGTATTGTATCTAATTGATTTCTAGCTGAGTTACTGCTTTATTTTCTAGTTCAACTCATAAAACCGAACTATTCTGTAATAACAGGTGTCAAATTAAAGAGCTTAGGTTTGTTCTAATCTAAGGATATATATTCTAATTTGAGGTTCATTTAAAACATTACCTAAGATTCTTTAAAAATATGTTGGGTATTCTTTTTTCCGCTTCCATTTTTTCTGAGGGTGAGGGAGGATATTCTTAGATTTTATAAGCCAAGAATCATGTGATCTCAAAAGATAATTCCTATTATCTCTGCCTTGAACTACTTCAAAGTGCTGGCAGACATGTTACGTTGTGAATTATGAATATAAATATTTGCCTGCTTCCTTTTCTTTATGTACATGCAGAAATCTATGGCTGAAAATCTAACTGCAAATGTTCCAGCTTCATTTCTAATAGCATTTTAAAAATGTGTGTGGTTACATGCAGATGATGTAATTGGGTCTTTTATATTTATGCACATATATCACTATATATGGAAAGATTGTGCTTATAAGACCATTAATGATTTCATTCTTTGTATTACATCATTGAAAAACAAAGGAAATATTTAGTTTCCTAATAGATTACTTGTTTTTGGCAAATAAAACTGCAGTCAGTTGGAAATATGTCAACAGCAGTAGGTCAGAGATAGGAGATTGTTGAAAGCAAATACAGTACTGTTGTTGTTCAATCACATGGAAATTGTTGAATATTCTGTAGTACTATCTGTTACCATTATGCCAAAAGAACATAATAGATGCCCCTAGGTTGGTTGAAAATCATTAGTATCAATTAGTTTCTTAAAAGAATAGTGATTTTTATTTGCATAAGTGATTAACATTGTAAAACATAAATTTATACACAATTATTTCCTTAATGTTATTTTCAAAATCTAAGATAAAAGCATATACTAAAGATCCCCTGAATATGAGCAATAACTGTATGAGCTATTTATTAATTTTATTTTTTTTTAGGAATGTAGTACACCCTGGCAGAACTGAGTAATATCTGCCCAGTTCCACATTTTTTCTGGGGAAATAACAGATTTCTCTGGAAATCGGCTGTGACTCACAGCTTCTTTGTATTGCCTTGGAAGCTTTGTTTTCTAGTCAAATAAGCTTAATAGAAGATTTCATTTGATAATGAAACAGTCATTTTAAATCTCCCACAGGAAGGTTTGGATATTGATATTATTAACATATTGCTTGGAAATGATGGTTTTTCTTTTCTTTTCTCTTTTCCTTTTATGGATTTTCCAGTAATCCCAATATAGAATCCAAAAAATTATATGTGAATGGAGTACCATGAGTTACTTTCTCATCCTTTGTTTAGTTGATTATTTAATGTATGAATATTAATACATTTATTATATCTGTTTGCAGTATGACCAAAAAGACTTCAGTCGTTTGTGCTTCCAGAATAATTTATTTTCTTGCTGAGTTTATTTAAAATTACCAAAACTTTCTAAATGCTGTGCTATGCTTTGTTTTAGATAAAAAAAATTATATGGAGTACTATCTACTCCATAATTGAATTATCACTAAATTTTTAGAAAAAGAAAACACATGGCATTGTTCTTTTTTTAATGGAAAGTTGGCAAGCAGAATACGATACAATAGAAGAGTATCTCTTTCCAGATTCTTGTATTTTTGAATTCCTTAATTTTATTATACAAGTCCTTCAAATTATTTATACACTAGTCTAGTATTTTTTTATTATTTATCTACTTCCTACATTCAGGGAACCTCCCCAAGGACTATAAATTTATCAGTACTATAGATAAAGCTTGGAAAAGGAAATGTATTATGCTTCCAAGTGAGAAATGCAGAGTATTTCCATTTTTAAAGACCATTTTCTGAATTAAATCTACAAGTTCAAAGCCCATATTAAGTAGGCTAATATACTGTTGTTGGCTAAGAAATATTAAGTAGGATTCTTATTGCCCCAACAATTGTATGTATCTTTCTTTTTCAGATTCTGGAAATGCACAACAGCCTGAAGAATTATTACCATGTCGGATTTGTGGAAGGACTTTTTTTCCAGCTGCATTAGTAAGTATGAGTATATGAACATAATGAATTTATTTAAATCAAGATGAGAAATGATAGGAGCCCGCCTGGTGGGCAGCCAAAGCAGCCGCAGCTCCAGTAGTCTTCACCTGAAGAGGTGAGAGACAGTCCTGCAGAACAGCCCTTCCCCTCCTGCCACCGATTCTCCTGCCCGCTGTTCCCCCACTTACCCCTGCTGAGTCCTGCCCTGTCAGAGAGCCCCGGATTCCGTGCGGGCCTAGCAAAGCCAAGCGGAAGGGAAAGCCGTTGATCTTCATTCAGGCAGGCCCAGAGTTCTCTGAAGGACGTTCGGTTTCATTCTGGCTCAGGGAAGCATCGCTCCCTCAGGGGGATTGTGATTTCCGCAAGCGGCCAGTTATCGAAGCCCGGCTTCCTCCTATCCCCCTACCGCCCTGTGCGCGCAAACCCCCCAACTCTGATCCCCCTCCTCTCTTCCATCCTTTACTTCTTGCCCTGCGGTGCGGTTGGTGCCCTCCGCTTTTCCTTGATGGCTAAAGACAACTTTGCTCACTCAGAGCTTTTTCCTCTCTTCCCACGGCAGCTGATTTCCCCCCCCCTTGTCCTCTCCTCCTCTGTGATCCCTGCAGCCCTCCGTAAGACAGCATGTATTTTTTGATTCCTGCTGCTCAATCCCTCCTCCCCCCCCCTTGATGGCTTCCTACTTGTGGGATGCAGGGGAAGGGAGCGCCATTTCATTACAGGAGGGAGAAGGAAAACTGGTCCAGGCAGTGAAAAGGGAAGAGATCAAAGGGGGGGGGGGCTTTGGAGATGAACGCTGCTTTGAGTGGATGTTTTGGTCTGCAGCATATGTTTCCCTTTCGCCTCTTGCCTGCCTTTTCTCTGTTTCCTAGTGTGCCTCTGGAAAGCCAGGAAGGGGGAGGGGCAAAATGAATCTGCTCCTAGTGTGGAATCATGAAGCTCCAAAGGGCCTTTTCTTGCAGTTGCTGCAGTAATGCCCCCCATTCTTCCTGCCCTGGCTGCTGCACCAAAAGCAGTTGATTATTGCTCAGTGGAACCAGCAGTGGGTGGGAGGAAGGAATAGATTTCCCTTCTGCTGCCTCTGCCTCAGTGGACAAGACCTCCTTCCAAAAATCTCTCCTAAGATTCTGGCAGGCACAGCCCCAGAACTGAGCTGCTGACTGAGCTGGAGTGGGGAGTTGGGGGAAGAAAAGAAGAGGAACCACTGACTAGCTCAGGAATTCTCGGAGTTGAAGTCCACGAATCATAAAAGAGCCAAGGTTGCCTACCCCTGGACTAGCTGGACTAGCTGAAATGACCCATTTTCTGAATCATATAATACTAGAAGAATAAAGGGGCTATATTTCCATAATTCACTAAGACTGCACACACAAAAAAGCAACACTGACATCAAGTTTAAAGTAATCTAGCTTCATAAGTTGCACAAATGCAGCCATTCTGTTTTAATCCAATCTGCTTCAGCTACTGTAAACACAGACCTTCAGTATAACTATTATACTGAAATTATAACAGTATAATTTGTAACAATGAAAATACATCCTGCATATCAGATATTTACATTTTCGATTCATAACAGTAGCAAAATTATAGTTATGAAGTAGCAACGAAAATAATTTTATGGTTGGGGGTCACCACAACATGAGGAACTGTATTAAAGGGTCGCGGCATTAGGAAGGTTGAGAACCACTGTTCTAGAATATTCTCTCACCGGAGGTGAGATCTGCCCCACACTCCTACTCTTCCAGAAGAGCCTGAAAACCTGGCTACGCTAACTGGCTTGAGGCTCCGTCAGAGGCGCATTACCTTGGGGGTACCTTATGGGGTAGAGAGAACCTCATATAAAGTAAATTAATATAATAAATATACAAGTAGTCCTCGACTTAGGACCATGTGTTTAATCATAGTTTGGAGTTACAATGGTGCTAAAAAAAGTTATGACCTGTCCTTAAAATTAGAATCATCACACTATCCTTGCTGTCATATGATTATGATTTGGGCAGTTGACAACTAGCTCATGTTTATGACAGTTGCAGCGTCCTGCAATCATATGATTGTGGCTTAGGACCTTTCAAGCTGGTTTCTGACAAGCAAAGTGAATGCAGGAAAGCTGGATCTACTTAACAACTATGGTGATTTGCTTATCGGTCATGGTAAAACCGGTAATAGAATCAGGTCTGATCATATGATGATTTGCTTAATGACCACATTGCTTATCAACCAAACTTCTGGTCCAATTATGGATGTAGGTGAAGGACTCCCTGTAAGCTTTAGCTCTTGTGGTCTTTGCTTCTCTTTCATGACAGGGAGCTAATAATGAATTTTAAAAATACAAATATAAATATTCAACTTTTTAAAACTTTCATTTCACAGAAAAAGCATGCTCCTATTTGCCAAAAATCTGGTACTAAAAGAAGAAAAGCATTTGACTCTAGCAGACAGAGAGCAGAGGGAACTGATATTTCCACAGTAAAACCTATGAAACCACGGGTAAGTACATAAATACTGAAATGTAGTTATTATTTTTTAAAAAATGCATGTAATATTGGTTGCAAATATGTTATGAGTGTTTAGGAACTTATCAAAGTAGTGTACTCATTTATTTTTTCTTTGATTAAAGAACTGTTAATTGTTTTAAGCATACTGCTTGTATAATACTTCTTTTGTCTTGGCATTATCTTTATCATCAAATCAAAATGCTGATTTCAGACTTCATATTGTACTGGTTTGAGAATGTATATTATTAGGAATACCAGGGCTACAGTCTAGAAGCAAATTTATAAAGTACTTGCAAGAAAATTGAAAACACATGATGTATTCATTGACTTAACAAGAGAAAAAAGCTTGACTAGAAAGAGTCTCTACTATTTTCCATACTATAGAAGCTATTATATGAGCTGATAGTCCTGAAGAAATGCAGCCAATAATGAAAATTAAAGCAGGGTAATATGACGCTATGAACAATGTAAGACTTTGGCATTTGATTTTCTGTGATAAGGTTTTTTTAAAGATAACTGGAAAAAAGCAGATAATATAATTGTGTTCTGTTGAATAATGCTGCCTCTCAGAAACTCAACTTTCTCTGTAAGAGAAAGATAGAAAACACATAATTCTACACTCTGTACTAGATATATTTTGTTGGTGTTGGGCAGATCTAATGCTTTAATTTAATATAGTTGTGTATTCCTATATCAGCAGTTATATAACAGTAATTACTTTTAAGTTTAATGCAGTATTGCATTATTCAATATTGAACTATTGAAAACAAGAAAATAGCCTCTCTTAACGACAACAGGGAAAATACAACAAGCATTCAGAAGAATAGGAAGTGATTAAGAAAAGGAAGTGATTATAAGCACACATTGTTCTTACCTGGAGTTCAGCTTGCATGGAATATTAAATTTACTTTTTATTTGCCTACTTTTCTTTCATAACTACTGTCACAGTACTTTTCTCAAAGACTAAGTGTAGTTTTGCAAATAGCCTGCTTAAAAATAATACATTATTTTTATTTAGCTGGTGTTGTTTAGATTATTGCATACTGTACTGAGTACAAGAAAAATCATACGATTTACATTGCAAAACTATGTCTGCTGTCTGTGTTGTCTCCTTAGCCAGAACCTCCAAAGAAACCATCAAACTGGAGACGAAAGCACGAGGAGCTCATAGCAGCTATAAGAGCGGCCAAAGGAGTAGATCAGGTTCTTAAAGAAGGTGGAAAATTGCCACCACCACCACCACCTTCTTATGATCCTGGTATATAACTTGAATTTGAGATATGTATACATTTTAGCATATGTTCATGCAGTATTATTTTTGAATAATTACATAGCTCTCACCATACTTGATCACCGTGCTTGTTTAGGACAGGTATCTTTATATCCGAAATACTCTGTATCTGATTTTTTTTTTATTCAGAGAGTAAGTCTTAAGGAATACTAGATAATTGGGGGGGGGAGGGAATTAAATTCTAGCCATGATGTCTGTTCCGTATATCTGTCTTATTTATATACAAAACTTTAATTATATATAATATATCTGATACCATGATTCTTTTTTTATCTTCACACAAAGCTCCATTACTGAATCATTTCTAAATTATTATATTGGAAATGCACATTTACATCAGCAGAAAGTGTCCTGAGTCACTGCTGCCTTGATTATTTGTCACTGATTATTTTTCAGAGGTTTTGCACTAAAACTTTTTAGACCTGGAATTGGAAAGGAACCAACAGTTAATAGGAACGATTTAACTTACTTTACCACACTTCCCCATGTGTGATCACAAATAAGGCCTTGTTCAATCTAATTGTCCTAGGAAAGGAATTCAGGCAACTAACTGTACCATTGAGCTAAAGCCAGCCATCAGCCAATACCTTTTCCCTCGTCCCATACATACATGGGAGTCCTATATTGTATGAAACTAAAGCTGCTGTAAAAATTATGTTGTTAGCACACATGGAATAGAGGTGAAGGGATATCTCGGTGGGATATAGTTAGAATCTGTTCTTTTAAAGAGTTCTGTTGTTTAGATGGAAGAGAACTGATTGGTTCCCTGCTTAGTCTCAGCATTTTGAAATAAGACTCCTAGATCTGGAAATTGTGAAGGTAGACAAAATTATAGTGAAAACATTTTTTTTTAACCTAGGTGGTTAAGAGAAAATTATGGAATGCTCCAGTAACTTGATAATTTATATACATTCTAGAGTACACACACACACACACACACACACACACACACACACACACACACACACTGTGTGTGTGTGTGTTTGTATATAAACCACCTTTATCGACAGTATTTACAATACTGTACTCCCGTAATTAAGATTCAAATAGTACTCTCGTTTTAACACAACCTTAACTCTCTCACTTTATTACTTATGGGTAAACAATATATAGACATAACGTGTTTAAAGACAACTTATATCTAATATAAGTCACGGGTATGACGGTGAGACGATTTAATCAAAATGCAGCTGATCGACATATCAATTTCTGCAAAGAACAGGCAGCACGTATTGCCAATAAAGGGAAAGTGGTTAGTGAAGTAAAAGGGAAGCTTCCAGCTAGAACACAGGTAAATAAATTTACTAGCCATCATTTCATTCTTTTCATTTTACTGCTTTCCTAAATTTAGCATGCTTTAAAAACAGACTTGTTTTAAAATTAAGTCAAAACTTGAAAGTTCTATTTCTTTTGAATATTTAAGAAACAACAACAATATGACAAAATCTGGGAGGGAGCTAAGAAACCAGGACTAATTAATTAATACAGAACCCATACACATTGCTTTTTGTAAGCCTTTGTGACAAGTTGAACATTACAGATTAGCTGTTTCATTGAGGAAATAAAAAGGCAAACAAATTTTAAAGTGTAATCACTTTGTCTCAAATCATTTTCCAAAGTTACCCTGTTTGCTGTGGAGTCTTTTTAGTGTCCTCTTTATTATGTAGATTATGTCAGAGTATTTAGTCACATAAATAATTTACCTATAAGTCTTATTTTCCATGAATTTATATAAATCCCCATTTATTGTTATCCAAGTTCATGGCTGTCACAGCATCCTTACAGTAGAAGACTCCATAATTTAATCAGGACAGATTTTCAATTTCATCAATACTTATACTTGCAGTAAGTTTAGAGTCATTTCCATCCTTCAAAGGGGGATAGTAATAAACAAAGGTTAGCCAGTCCAAACCATACATTCAATATGTAGTCCAATATCAATTTTACTTTACACTTAATTCTATTACATAGAATTAATGTATATTCGGTGTGAAAGCCCATTGTTCAGTGTTAGAGCTCATGCTTTACATATTTGTCATTCTGTTAATTGGGAAGGAGGGAGGGAGAGAGGAAGGGAGGGAAGGAGGGAGGGAGGAAAGGAAGGAAGGAAGGAGATTCCTCTTTTTTGAGATCTTGGAGAACTACTGCTACAGTGTAGAACAACCATTAGAGTCTATGGTTCTCTAGATGTGTTGAACATAACTCCTGGACACTATGATCATTATTCTGTGGTTTTATTTATATGTTTTAGCAGCAAATAATGCACCGCTCATACTGGTTTATTCTTGTTATATTGCAGTACCTTCTTCCTCTTTGTTGGAAGTGATCATGCTTATTAAAAACAAAGTAACATGCTTTAATTGTAATATATAAAAAAGATAGGCAGTCTGCCTTAAATATGAGGAACTAGAAAAGTAACACTAAATCAGCATGATTGTGGAAGGTTATTTAACCTGTTAAATTACTAGCTTAATGGATATCATATTTGTTATTTCAGTACAAGACACCAACAGTTAAGAAGATACCTTCTGCAGGGATAACATCACCAGCCTTATCACGCTTACCACAACCAAGTAATAGACATGTGTGCATATGTGTGTGTGTTTTCTTTGTCTGGAATTTTATAATTAGGCATTCACTTGTAACTCACTAAGCAAAGGAAATTTAAATCTTAAGACAGATTTAGCCTAAGCTGCTAGAAGTTAGGATAGATAGTGCTGATCCAGATGAACCTATAATATGCAGAATGTGAATGAAGTTCTGATCATACGTTTGAGGTAATTATATGCCATAATAAACATAAGTTCTTCTCTGCAACCACACCTTAACAATAAAAATGACAATTTCAAGATGTATTTTTAAAAATACATGAATAATTTTGAAAGCAATTGTGCTGTTTTCAGTGTCTTGCTTCATAAGATTCCTAGGAGATGAATTAACAAGTGAGTTGAATAGTCACTGCTATATTAATGTCTTGATTATCTGCCTATCATTCTCTCACTGCTTCTCCTGGCTTGTTAAAACTATAGAAGAAAATTGATAGCATTGAAATCTCATTTCTAATCTTGTATAAAAGAGTAAGACAAGAGTCTTATTTTTCAATGCCATTTAAAATATTTTAAAATAAGACTTATGACTTAATATTGCTCTTTATTTCTGAATAAAGTAAGTTCACAGTGGGGGGACAGATCCTGTGGTGGTCTGAAATCCAAATCCATCTAAAGACTACTGCTAAATTGTAATTCTTCATGTGAAAGAAAAAGAGCATTAAAACATCCATAGATTGAGAGGAAATACTTTTGATTAAATTACAATTA